AAACGACACACCTTCCTCCAGGAAGCTGTCTGTACTTAACAGCAGTGATGTCTGCGTGGGGCTCTGTCACTTGCAAGTAGAACACAGGCTGAGGACCAGAGAGGGGAAGGTGACCCACCTTGTCCAAGAGACCCGTGGAGATCGGTGCTTCCAGGCCCTGCAAGCTTGGGGAAAAGTGTACAAAGACTCTGTCTTTCTGTGTGGAAATCTATCATTAAATTACTAAGATTTTCTATTGAGTTCTAGGTACAAGCAGAGCTCAGAAATACTTAGTTCAGACCACTGTGATAAAGCAAATACTACAATAAATCAAGTCACACACATGGTTTTGGTTTCCCAGTGCATATAAATGTTCCATTTATACTTCTATATGTGTGCAATAGCATTGTTCTAAAAAAAAAAAAGTACATACCTTAATTTAAAAATACTTTCTTGCTAAAAACTGCTAATCATTACCTGACAACGCAGTTTCCACAAACCTTCAGTTTGTAAAGAAACAGTATCTTTGAAGTGCAATAAAACAAAGCACAATAAAACAATGCATGCCTGTAAATTATACACCAAAGACAAAAGCTAAAATAGTGTGTGTGTGTGTCCTGGGAGACTGTTCTGAATGGAATTGTGTCTCTCACAAAAGGTCCTACATTGAAGCCCCACCCCCACTGTGACTGTTTCTAGAGATATGGCCTAATTAGGGTTATGTGAAGTCATGAGGGGGAGCCCTAATCTGAGAGGACTGGCATCCTTACAAAAAGAGAGCCCAACACAGTCTCATGGCCTTCCCTAAGCCCGCCACCTCCCCAGCTCATCCAAGGCCATTAGGATCCAGTCTCCAGAACTGTAAGACTGTGAATTTGCTGTTTAAATATTCAGTCTGCGGTATTTTGTGGTGGTAGCTTGAGCTGGTAAGTACAGAATGTACTTATACAAGAATGTTCACTGTCACACTGATTATAATAGCCAGAAACTGGGTGGTGGGGGGCAGGAGGGAACTCATCAGGATTAGAATGGATGAATGACATGGTATAGTTATACAGAGAAACACTACATAATGAGGAAAATGAATGAATCGCAAGCCCAGGCAACATAATGGGTAAATCTCACAAAGCATGCTGAGTACAAAAAAGTGTGTTAAGTCACTCAGTCGTGTCCGACTCTTTGCAATCCCACAGATTGTGACCCGCCAGGCTCCTCTGTCCGTGGAATTCTCTAGGCAAGAATACTGGAGTGGGTAGCCTTTCCCTTCTCCAGGGGATCTTCCCTGACCCAGAGATTGAACCCAGGTCTCCCACACAGCAGGCAGATTCGTTACCATGTGAGTCATCAGGGAAGCCCAAGAATGAACGCGAATACAAAAAGCTGGGCTTGAAATCATACAACATGTACTTTTCTACTTTTTCATAAAGGAAAAGTTATATACAATGTTTAGGAATGACAGCTGACATGATAAAATTACAAATGAAAACAAGAAAGCGATTATCCTGATTTTGTTAAGAAGGGGAGTGCCTGGGAAGGGCACAAGGGGAAGCTTGTGGACAATGGTCTATTTTTTTAAACCTTGGATAATCACATGGATAATCACATTGTCATAATTCACTGACCTCTACATTCATGCTTTATGCACTTTTCTACTTGTGTATTATATTTCATAATAAAAAAAATACTGTGATATTTCCGGGAATGGCCAAGTATTAAAAAACAAAAAAACCCAACAACAAACACTTTGTTAGGAAGGAATTCATCCTACAAATGTCTTCTCACATACACTGTTTATTGTAGCAAAAGATTAAAAGTTAACATCAACTAAGGCTAATAAAAATAAGTCATACAACATCTATACGCTGAATATTATTTAGCATTTTTAAATGGCTTATTTGTATATGTCCAGATATGGAATAATCTCCAAAATTAACAGATCAATATGTGAAATGTGTTGTCACATATTAAAATATATATGCATAAATAAAATAGACATTTATAAACATATTTCTTTGGAATTCTTAGCATCTTGTGGTGCCTAAAAGTAAGGACATGTACACAATTTTTAAAAGTATGTATACATATTGAAGGGCTTCCCAGGTGGCACTAGTGGTAAAGAACCCACTTGCCAATGCAGGAGACATAAGAGAAGAGGAATGTCTTCCAGATATAATCTTGCCCCCAGGACAAAATACCTTAGCAAGAAAGTATTTTAAAATTAAGGTATGCACATTTTTTTTTAGACAGTGCTATTGCACACGTATAGAGGCATGTGGGGAAGATCCCTGGGTGGGGAAGATCCCCTGGAGGAGGGCATGGCAACCAAGTCCAGTATTCTTGCCTGGAGAAGCCCATGGATAGAGGAGCATGGTGACCTACAGTCCATTGGGTTGCAAAGAGTTGGACACAACTGAAGTGACTTAACACACATGAATACACATTGAAAGGACACACCACAGAAACCATTCTGGAACAGCTCTCTCTCTTCCAAAATACTTAGTAGTTACAAGGGGGAAAACAGTGAGCTTACCGTGGAGAATCCAGGCAAATGACTTCTCAGCCAAGTGATCAGGGTTACCTTCACGACCAGCAGCTCATGCAACATCCTGCATCCCCAGATATAATGTCATAAGGACACGTGATCACATCTCTGCAGCCTCTTTCCCAGTGCTACATTGGCATCTAATCATGAAAAAGCATCAGATAAGTCCCAACAGAAGGACATGCTATAAAATGATTGACTGAAGTCAAGGTCACAAAAGAGAAGAAAAGACTAGAGAATCATCAAAGATGGGAAGAAACAAAGGGGACATGACGACTAAATATGGTGAGATTCTGACCGGATCCTTGAACAGAAAAATGACACCACTGGAAAAACCATTGCAATCCAGAAAACTTTTTAGTTTTGAAATATGCCCTATGGATACATACAATGGTAACATAAGTGGAAGTGAGGTGAAAATATATTGGCACACTACTATTTTCACAGTATTTTCATAAGTCTGAAATTAGTTCAAAATAAAAAAATAAAGGTATAGAACAATGTATGAAATATCCTGCCACACATGGAGCTACATCCATATATGTGTGTATAAAATATGCACATATAGACAGAGATAAAATCTGAGTAGAGGCTGGGTGACTGAGGGTCAGGACGGGCAGGGAGGCTCACCTTTCACCACATACACTTTTGCATCTTCTGATTTTTCAACCCTAGGCATGTGTTATATATTCCCAAAACTAAAGTTTTAAGTAAAATCTATGAAAAGTTGAAGACATAATGAGTGGCTTGCTAAACTTCACTACAAAAAGGCACTCAGCCTAACGACTGGGGGAGGTTTCACAGAACTAGACTGTAAATGGAGCTCTAGCTTCCTTCCAAAATCCATTCAACAGCAACATCTATAGTCTGTGATGGTTTTATTTCTCCTTTGAGGTCTTAAAAGTGACTGTAACCAAAGAAAGCATGGACGTATCTCCTGGTAATGTTATTGCAACTCTCGGAATATATAGAGCAAATTGCATCCCACTCAGGTGTTAACATAAGTATAGAAATAATGAAGAAACTCATTTTAAAGTCAGGATATTATCATGTCTCTAACTAGTTTTAATGAAACTGTTATATTTTGTCCTCACTATAATGATAAAGGGGCAAGTGACACTGGACACCACTCCCAACTCTGATGCTCATGGCCTGTGTGACCATGAACGGGTTGCTTATTTCCCTGTGCCTGAGTTTCAAGGGAATAGTCCAAAGACCTATCTATGTAATTGTTTTGATTATAGATAATATCACACATCTAAATCAGAACAGGACCTGATCCTTCAGCCTTCAGATTTTAAAAATCTATATTTTAAATGTTCTAGCTACTTTTAGATGTTTTTGACATTTAAGAGAATCTAATACATTAAATTTTGATTTAATCAAATGTTGCAAATTACATTTGTAAAAGCATAAGTTTGGGTTTATTATGAAGGTAGTAACAAGAATATAGTGTTTTTATTACATTACTATTAATACTGATTAATAATCATATCAAAGAAGGTACAAGTAGGAGTGAGTATTCTGTCTCTTCAGGTAGAGGGAATCTCTCCAGGGAGCATCCTGAGGCCTCCTACTCCATAGGCTCCTCCCCCCAGAAGCTGGTCCCCAACCATCCCCACCCCCACCCTCTAAGCCCCCACCCCCACCCTGCACAACCCACCCCTGGGCTCCGGGCTGCACCCCTCTGCCTTTCAAAGGGCCTCCATACCCCCACCTGCCTCTAGGTTGGGAGCCTCTCCCTCCCCAGCATCATTCCCATCCCACCATCCAGCCTCTTCCTACAACAGGTAATAAACTCACCCTTGACCTAATGCCCTCTCCATGGCCAAATATTTCTGTGTTCCCCACCTCAACAAAATTTGCCCAGGTTTAACCATCCAGGAACCTCGGTTCGGCTGACCAATCTACAAGACAGACTCCAGATACATTTCAGTTCACTCCAAACTGGCTTCTAAGAGCTCACAGCTGCAACAGAGCTGTTCCTGAAGAAGCTGGCAGAGAGCTGGGGGCACACAAGCCAAGGAGCAACTGTTCTTACCTGCGTGGGTTGCTCAGCAGCACCCCCACAAGAGGCACCTCCCTCCTTGGAGCTCGCCACTCTTCCTGGTAGGGACCCAGGCAGGATAAGAGAGCTCCATCCAGAGTGGGAGTGGGGAGGGGGACGGGGACTCCCAGATATTGTTTTCTTTTCTCCATCATAACCTGGAAAGAACACTGACACGAAGGAAACCAGCAAGATCATTTATTATAAAACCATGGAAAATTTCCTTAAAAGGTGGAGCTTGCAATCACTCGAAAGGACAGAATTAAGAACAGGTGCCCCATCCTTACCCTCATCTTTCACTTTCACGTGCTAACAGAAGTGGATGGAGCCTTAGTCTCAGACCTCCCGGTCAGTATTCGGTCAGCATTCGAGCAAGCCTCACTTTACCCGTCTTGCAGCCATCTGGATTAGGGGTCCTGGAGCCGCCCCGCCTTAACCCGAATGCCTCCAGGCCCGCGCAGAATTTAGCAGCTGTCTGGTCCAAGTTCTGGCTAAAAAGAAGCGGCTGGTCAAATGCAGGCTTTGTGAGGTCCATCAGAAACACCTGAAGGGCTTGTGAAACCCCAGATAGCCTGGTACCCCTCTTAGGGATTCCGGTTCTCTGGGTCTGGGTGGGGGACAGAGTTTGCATTTCTGTCTGGGCGACAGAACTTGCGTGTTTTTTTTTTTTTTTCATTTATTATTATTAGTTGGAGGCTAATTACTTTACACCATTGCAGTGATTTTTGTCATACATTGAGATGAATTAGCCATGGATTTACATGTATTCCCCATCCCGGTCCCCCCTCCCACCTCCCTCTCCACCCGATCCCTCTGGGTCTTCCCAGTGCACCAGGCCTGAGCACTTGTCTCATGCACCCAACCTGGGCTGGTGATCTGTTTCACCCTAGATAATATACGTGTTTCGATGCTGTTCTCTTGAAACATCCCACCCTCGCCTTTTCCCAGAGTCCACAAGTCTGTTCTATACATCGGAGTCTCTTTTTCTGTTTTGCATATAGGGTTATCGTTACCATCTTTCTAAATTCCATATATATGTGTTAGTATACTGTAATGGTCTTTATCTTTCTGGCTTACTTCACTCTGTATAATGGGCTCCAGTTTCATCCATCTCATTAGAACTGATTCAAATGAATTCTTTTTAATGGCTGAGTAATATTCCATGGTGTATATGTACCACAGCTTCCTCATCCATTCATCTGCTGATGGGCATCTAGGTTGCTTCCATGTCCTGGCTATTATAAACAGTGCTGCGATGAACATTGGGGTGCACGTGTCTCTTTCAGATCTGGTTTCCTCAGTGTGTATGCCCAGAAGTGGGATTGCTGGGTCATATGGCAGTTCTATTTCCAGCTTTTTAAGAAATCTCCACACTGTTTTCCATAGTGGCTGTACTAATTTGCATTCCCACTTTAACAAGTTCCCGGTTGACGCCGATTCTGCTGATCCAGCTGTCCTCGGATATCTAAGCGCTAGGGCAGATCCACCAGGGAAATTTGGCGGGAGACGTCCCCTCAAGATGCTGCCCGGGGCTCTCCACCTGGAGTTGCAGACGTGCTAGGTTTTCACCTGACGGTCTAGCCGCAGGCCCGTTCGCTCTCCCTACTCAGGAGCTGGGACCCACACCAAGGGGCTTTAGACTGAGCGGCTGTTTTCAGAACTCTCCCAGGACCTCAGACTAAGAAACCGGAGGCAGGTCCACCTTCCCAGACCGCTGGGGGTAGGAAGCATTCCCGGCCAGGTCTCCTGAAACGCCTCACCTCGATTTCGGCGGATCCGAAGCTGGAAAGACATTGCCACGATGAGGAACTTGCTCACATACTGGTAAAGGGGCGATCCGATGATGAAGACCAGGACTCCGCATCCTGGGACTGCGCTGACCACGAGGGAGACCCTGAACCACCCGTAGAAGGCCGTCAGCCTCTCCTCGTCCTGGCCTGGGAAGTGAGGTTCCAGTCACGAAGGAAACGGGGTCCTCTGTCAGAGTCCGTCCAGACCGGCCCCTGGACGGTCTAAGGAAACCTCAGGGGCACTGGACCAAGGACCTAACCCCCCCACACCCCAGGAGTAACGGGGGCGCACGGGATGAGATGCAGCCTGCAGGACTTCAGAGGTTGCGAGCGCCGGGCTCACTCACCAAACAACGCGTGTAACATCCACAGCTCGACATAAAGAACCTCTTGGATGTGATCGGTGCCTCTAACCCCTCTCAGCCTTTGGGCACTGTGAAGCGCCAGGCTCCGGAGGGACGCAGGGAGGAACATGGGCCAGGGCGGTCCCCGAGGGAGCGCGGCCTCCTAGGCTGCCCAGCCCCGCCCCGCCCCTTCCGTGTGCCCGGACACGCGTCCCGGGCCTCCAGCGCCCAGCATCCTGCCTCCCGCATGCAGCATCCATCCTCCGGCGCCGCTCCGTGTGGTCTGCCCCGCGAAGCAGAAGCTCCAGCACAGGGATGCTCGAGGTTTAAGGGCTAAGGGCTCCTCTGCAGTCTAAGGGCCCCCCAAAACACCCCTAGGCCCGCCAGGCTCAAGTGTGCCACCCCAAGCCTGCCATGGGGTGGCGGGTGGGGTGGGCGAGCTGGGACTCCGTCCAGGGTCGTGTTCTCTGGGTGACAGGCAGAGGGAATCTGGAAATCAGGCCATGGGATGCAGGGAGCCACTGAAGAATGGAACCCACACCGGCTGGGTCCTCAAAGCCGCCACGCCTTCTAGAAGGCCTTCCTATCAGGCCCAGGTCTCCTTCCCCTTTGGGGGAGATCTGCAGCCTGGGGTGGAGCCCGGGGTTCCAGCTGGCGGTGGGAAGACCTGCACTCCTGGGCCTGAAACAGTGTCCAGAGAGATGGAAACCCGCGGGCTGTGAAGGAGATTGGCTGGACATCTTGGGTCTTCCTCCCAAACATCACCCTGGTCTAACCTAATCACACAGCTTACAAGAGGGGCATCTGACAACACACCTAGCCAGTGTTCCTCAAAACTGCCAAGGTCACCCCAGTGTTCCTCAAAACTGCCAAGGTCGTCAAAACAAATGAAAGTCTGGGGAAACATCACAGTCAAGAGGAGCCTAAGGAGACGATGACAATTAAAGGTAACGTATATGTATCCTAGATGGAGTCTTAGGATAGAAAAGCGACAGCTGGTAAAAATGAGGAAATCTCAATGAACTGTGGACTATTTAACTATTTAATTTTAGAAAGCATATTAAACAGCAGAGACAAAGGTCTGTCTAGTCAAAGCTATGGCTTTTTAAAGTAGTTCTGTATGGATGTGAGAGTTGGACTATACAGAAAGCTAAGCACCAAAGAATTGATGCTTTTGAAAACTGTGGTGTTGCAGAAGACTCTTGAGAGTCCCTTGGACTGCAAGGAGATCAAACCAGTCCATCCTAAAGGAGATCAGTCCTGAATATTCGTTGGAAGGACCGATGCTGAAGCTGAAGCTCCAGTACTTTGGACACCTGATGAGAAAAACTGAGTCATTGGAAAAGACCCTGATGCTGGGAAAGACTGAAGGCAGGAGGAAAAGGGGATGAGAGAGAATGAGATGGTTGGATGGCATCACTGACGTGATGTCCATCACTGATGGACATGAATTTGAGCAAGCTCCAGGAGTTGGTGGTGGACAGGGAAGCCTGGCATGCTGCAGTCCTTGGGATCTTGAAGAGTCAGACCCAAATGAGTGACTGAACTGAACTGAAGATGGGGGTAGGGTGGGGAAATGGGTGAAAGTAGTTAAAAGGTACAAACTTTCAGTTATACAATAAGTCCTGGAGATGCAATGTACACCATGGTGACTATAGTTAATAACGTGCATGCATGCTCACTTGCTCAGTCATGTCCAACTGTTTGCAACCCCATGGACTGCAACCTACCATGCTCCTCTGTTAATGAAACTTTCCAGGCAAGAATACTGGAGTGGGTTGCCATTTCCTACTCCAGGGGATCTTCCCAACTCAGGAATTGAACCCATGTCTCCTGTATTGGCAGCTGGATTCTGTAGCAGAGACCCTGAGAAGTCCTATATTTAATAATAATGTACTCCACATTTGAAGATTGCTAAAGAGGTGATCTCAAAACTTAAGAAATTTTTGTAACTATGTGTGGTGATGGATGTTTACTAGACTTCTTGTGGTCATTACACAAAATATACAGATATCAAATCGTTATATCATACACCTGAAATTCATGTTAAATGTCAATTATATGTCAATTGAAAAGACATTAGAAAATGATATCACGAAGTTATTAAATGTATGACAGACTTGAAGAAGATACTTGAATGCCAAAAAACCCCACAAAGTATTGATATTCTTCCAAATAAACAAAAACCTGACAGAGATCCCAACAGAAAAATGGACAAAGAACATGACTTGGCAATTCACAGAGAAGGAAAATAAGTTACTTACAAGTATATGAGATGACCTACCTAACTACTGAGAAACATATACTAAAACAACAAGATACAGAAAAACAAAATCAGAGGACTGACACTCCCTGACTTAAAGACCGACTGTAAAGCTATAGTAATCAAGACAGCATGATATCTGAAAAGAACGGATCAATAGGTCAACGAACAGGGTCAAGAAATAGACTCACCTGACTTTTGACAAATGGAGCAAAGGCAACACAATGTAGAAAAGATAATCTTTTCAAATAACAAAAAAAAGAACAAGTGAGGGAACCTAGACAGACCTTAATACCCTTCACAAAAAATTTAACTCAGAATGGATCAAAATGCTAAATGTAAAATGCAAAACTATAAGGCTCGTAGAAGATAACAAAGAGGGAAGTTGTTTTGTCAAAAATATCAAAAGGGTTTAGAACAGGAGCCGGGCATTCAACTCACAGCTTCAGGCAGGTGTATGGAGGACACCATTATCACACCAGCTGTGCCAACTTCTGGATTAACTTTGTTAAACCAAAACCTCCTGGCCTCACCCTTTCTGCTTTGCTCTGAAATTTCCCCAAAGCTCCTCTGTGCAGTACCAGTTGGGTTTGTTTTTCCCTCCATCAAACCTCTTGGGGTGTCAGGGACCAATAAACAGAAGGCGAGTGCTGGAGAATTCCCTCCACCCTCCTACCCTGGCCCCCAATCAATCTATGGAAAGAAATCCTCAAGAGGTAGGTGGGAAGCACTGAGGAAATTCCCAGTCATCCCACAGATGACCTCTGCCCCCAAGTTCCCACAGTCAGTCTTTGGTATATGAGGTCAAAACCACCCTACCCAAACTGCATGTAGCACTGGAAGTTTGCTAACTCATCTCTAGTTTTCTTAAGATGTTTTAAAATATGGACCACAATTTTAAGGAATAATTTGCTGCTGCAGTATTGAAACTGTGAAAAATTGACATTTGAAGAAAAATAAGTTATTGCTATAGGACTGAGGAGAAAAAAAAGTAAAGAAACTTAAAATCTGTTATCAAAGTAGTTCAACATTTTAAGAAAACTTGTCCTCTTAGAAGAGTCAACTTCAAGTTTTGCACCAGCTTATTTTTAAAATTCATTTACTCAGTTAATTTATTTTAAACTTAGTCCTGACCACACACAAAACTCTTTTCTCAGGGTCCACTTCCCACAAATCTTCCACTGCTTAACTTATGTTAGCACAAATCTAACTTTCAAGTCTTGGAATATCTGGAGAGATTATTTTTAAGTAGACTTTCCTAAAATATAATTATTCCTAGAGAATTCACCCAAAGCTCTTTCCTCATTTGCATTTTCTTTCCTTAAAAGTTTCTCCACACTGAATTACTTTCCTTGCTGACAAATTTGTAACAGATATAATAAGGTTTTATTTAGCTTATATAAACCTAGGCACAATAACAGTCCTACACTTAATGTGTGTGACTCTAAAGACAGTCTATATTAATTAGACCAAAAAACTTAAACATGAATACTAGGTATTAATACTGAATATTTCCCAGTCCACATGAACCCGAAATTCATTTCGCTTAATATCTTTTGTATTTAGAATCGTTTGATTTGTAAGCACTTACTTTTCTTAAGCCAATTAAATAGAGCTCATTTACAAATTAACCTCAGCAAGATTATCCAAAGACAAAAGACACATACTGAAACACACATATATCCAGATAGACACAACAACAAATCTCATAGCTTCATTTTCTTAGTCATGAATCAGCTATCACAATATAAAATTCACTAGTCATAAATAACAATAGGAATAAGTTAAATTTTAAAATATTTTTTTCCACCACTTCCCTTGCCTCCAGTCTCAGGAATTAGAGATGATCTAGATAACATAGATGATCCTAAGAGCTCTGGTCTCAAGGCACAGGTAGAGAAAATCAGGTTCTCCTAATAGGACTTATCCCTCAAGTATCAGAATTAGTTTTTCCTCCAAGCTAGCTTTCTCTGCTGGTTGGGAATTAAACAGGGGTCAGTTAACCTTCAGTTGGCATTGTGTACTTAACTGGTGCAACTGAAGGTTTATAATTTTCATAGATCCACCCTTTACCTTTATTTTAATGGTTTTGAAAAGTTGGTCAGCCAGTGTAACAAGGGCATCTATGTGTAACTTGGACCAACCTAGACTGTATCTTTTGGCTAGAGTAGTCCAATCTTCATCTATGCCTTCTAAAAAGGCAGGGTTATGCAAAGGATTGTTTTGATGGTTAGAAAATGATTCAGGTGTCAAGGAAGCATGTTGCTTAAGTTTACTTCCAACCTTTCAAAATAGAACTGATTCATCTGACTTTTGCTTGTACTGTTGAATCTCTGTCCAGTCTACTGTTTGGGGGGAAACACGCTGGAATAAATTCGAGTAATTTCTGAGCTAATTTCTTCCAGTCAGTGTGACAATGAAAGTGGTTCAAATCCATTAAGGGATCTTTCCATCATGGTTTCTTTATTCATTCCCTTTCTTTGCTTTCCGAAACTAACAGGTGTATTAATTGATATAGATCTGAAAACCTAGGCTGGCAGGTCCAGATGGTTAATTCAGATTCCTTAGCAAATCCCAGTGGATCCTGACACAGATCAGGAAATTCCTTGGCTAAAGCTCTAAGTTCTGCTTTGGTCCAGGGTGTGTTCATAAGCACTGATGACAATTCACCTCTCCCTGTAATAGGTTTCTCCTTAAAGGGAGCTATAATCACTGGTGATTTTTTCTCCTTTACTGGGGAGGGGGGAGCAGCAGGAAGCAGGAGAGTTGGAAGAGAGAAAGAAATAGCACCTGGGCCATGCAATTCAGATAGAAGAGGATGTGAGTGAAGAGCAGAGGGAGAGACCCAGTCAGAAACAGTGCTAACA